CCCACGGCCCTACCGGGGTGGCACCGGCGGCTGATTGTCTAGCTGTAGCACCCCCCCCCTCCACTCAAGTCTTCCCAGGATATGGGTGTTAAATAGGGGGGGGGGGACACACCCAAGACCCCTTGCACCCAGCTCCTGTGGCCTTGGGGTGCCTGAGGTGGGGGTCTGAGCCCCCCCCCCCCAGGGCCGTTCAGTTGCCGTAGAAGCCATAGTAGCCACCGTCGGCACCCGGGTCCTTGTCGTAGAGGTCTCCGTTGCGGGGTGGGGGGGAGCTCTCGGCGCTGGAGGGGTACGGGGACACCCGCCGCCGTTTGCACTCGTACAGCCCCGAGTCCGAGGAGTCACCCGAGGTGGCGGCGGGGGGCTCGGGGGGCCAGCCCTCCGCCTCCTTCCCCTTTTCTTCCCGGGGCTCCCGGTACCAGCCCAGAGCTCCGGGGCTGCCCTTAGGGCCGTACTGCCCGGGGCTCCAGCCCCCCCCAGCCCCGAAACCTCCCGGCCCCTCGGGGTAGTAGGACAAGGAGGGGTGGGGGGCGGGTGGCAGGGCAAAGGGTTTCACCCCGTAGGGCACCAGCTTGGCCCCCCCGTACCCCGCTTCGTAGCCACCGTACTCCAAGGCCCCGGTGGCGGTGGGCGGCTGCGGGGGGGTGAAGTACCAGCGTGGGGGGTCCTTGGGTGGTAGGGGCAATGAAGCCCCCCGCTCCCCCCCAAAAAAGCGCCCGGGGGGCAGCGGGTACTGCTCGGGCAGGAAGGGTTGGAAGCGGGGGGCTGGCAGGAGCTGCTGGCAGCCGGGACCCTCTGGCGGAGATGGGGTGAGGCGGTCGCCCTCCGAGGCTGTGTACATCCTGGGGGGGGGAACGACACAGGGTGGGAGTGGGGGGGATGCCCTCTTGCCAGCTGGGGCCTGGGGGACTGGTGGGAGGGCGGAGGGGGGGGGACACACTCACGAGTCAAAGTTGTCCCGAAAGCCTTTGGCGAAGGGGTTGTGGTCAATCTTCAGCTGGGTGATCTGGGGGG